AAGGATGGGTGGCGGTTCGGGGGGGCAGGACCAGGCCAGCTTTGTTGCTGGCTCCTGCCAGCTCCCCCTGGGTCTTACTACCCCGACTCCTGTCATTTTTGACAGGCAGCCAGAAGCAGATAAATATTAATTTTCTAAATTTTTAGGGGCCTGCAGGCCAGATAGAATGGCTGGTGAGCTGCCTGCCCCGGGCTACAGGGAGGGGCACAGGCAATGGGGTGAGGGGGCCACATGCCCCCCCAGCTTTCTGTGCCCACAGTGAGGCTGGACCAGCTCCGGGAAGGAGCTGCCAATGTGGCCCAGCTGAGGGAGTGCCATGCTGCCATGGCCACCAAAGTGAGGCACCCCCTTCCCGCCCGGTAGTAGTGGGGACACAACTCCATGCAACCACTGCTGCCATGCCTCACATTTTTAAACTGATTTTTAAATAGATAAAAGTATGATTCCTGCTAATTAGCAACCAGACCTACTCACTCAGTGATCCCATGGTGGGGCCTGGTGCTGCTGACACATTTTCCCTTCTTGCATTGAAGGCTACAAGTTCACATCTTATGGGTCTAGGTATGCAAATTAATGTCATGACTGAAAATTCCCCTGCCTATGAGGTTACACTGGGGAGATAATTAATTCCTTAATATTTGTTCTCCAAACCTTCCCCAAGTGAAGGCACTAGGGCAGGGGTTTTCAACTTTTTAAAATAAATGTATTCCCAGCAGCTGGATGCAGAGTGTGGGGAGTGGGGGGGAGCGCACAGCTGGATGTGGCATGGTGGCAGTGTGGGGTGGTGGTGGTGGCCGCCGCACGCAAGCTCCCTCTTCGCCCCCGGCCCCCCCCCCTGAGTGTGCAGCCGGCCAGGTGGCGCTTGTGCGACCTGCAGAAGGGCATCACTGCCTTCTTTTCCCTGCCCCCAGCCCTGCTCCTGGGAGGTGGCAGTGTGGAGTGGTGGGTGGCAGCACTCTGTCCCAGGCTGCCTGTGTGTACCCCATGGGGCCTTCTCAAGTACCCCCGAGTGTATGCGTACCCCCAGTTGACAACCCCTGCATTAGGGGATGTGAGAGATGGGCAAGGCAGGTGAAGGGGAGACCTCTGACAGACCGCTGTGAGCTAAAGGTGGGCTAGAGAAATGACACACAGTTTAAGAGACAGTTTAGGAATGGAAGAGCTCCCAGGCTAGATCAGCGCAGGATCTTTGAGCCCTGTGTTCTGTTTCCAGCAGTGTTCAAAACCTGCTGCTTTAAGGAAGGTGCAAAGTGGCATAAGCTTCCCCCAAGACAAGTCTTCTCCAAGCCTCTTTAGTTAGAGGGTGGCTCCTGCCCTGACACAGCACAGAGCTCTGTCCATTGCTCAGTTCTTGCCATGGGAGTTCTTGCCTCTATCAATATCCTGCCCTTTGGGAATCCTACTAAGGAATTTATGCTATGCCCACACCTACCAGCTGCAAGACCTCACACACAGAAGAGACACTGTAGGGCTACAAGGAAAGGAAGCAGTCATGGGGGGAAGCCACCAGAGCATGGGCCTGAGGTAGAACATTAAGTGAAACAGCTTCTGGCAGCATCACAGTACCAGAAGCACAGGAGATGAGCTTTGTTGGGGAGATGGTCTGTGTCAGCAATTAAGGGTGATGCTGTGGGTATCACTCCATTGGTGCAATATCTCATGGATGGCCATGGTGCATGCTGGATACACAGTCACCAGCCACCTGAGCATAGTGTGGTCATGCACAGCTTGGCCCATGGTCAAGGAGAAGCCTTGGCTGACACTCCATTATGTAGCCTGAGCAGCTGATCAGCCTAACTTCCTTGGCTCAGCAATATCTGCAGTCCCCTTTGCACTTGCTTGGTCACATTTCTGTCTGGGATGTATTCGTCTAGGCTAGACAAATACACCCTTCACTAATGCACTGTGCCCCAGTGGGACTTCATGGGCTGTGGTGGGTAGTGTTGAATGTGATTCTCAGTGTTCAATGAAGGGGGACCCCACTTGTGACCACATGCATCTGTGTATGTGGCCTGTCCCCTTAGCCTTTGGATTATCTTCTTTCTACAGGAAGCTGCACTGCACCAGGAATTCCATCCACATCCACTTCTTTACTTCTTTTATATTACGAGGAGCTGCTGTGTTCATCAAAGACTCTGTGCTCTTTGCAGATGAGTCCATCGATCACTGCACAATGTCAACAGTAAGTAGAAGCTCAGCACATGCCCAGGAGCTACAGAGGAGGGGGAGGAGGTTTCTCTTCGGTCAGACACTGAAGGAAAGCCTCTCCTGAGGGTTCAGTTTTAAACTTTTGCATTTCCTAGACATGCATGAACTTGCAGGTCACACATTATATCTCACTTCAACGCCCATAGCTCCCAAAACACTTCAGAAATGAGGTTGATGTCCTTATTCCTAGTCAAAGACTGGGAATTTGAGGTACCAAGCAAGGAAGTGAGTTGCCCAGTGGTGATGCTGTGGCTAGAACCCAGATCTCCAGAGTCCACCCAGACATTACGAGAAGGAAGGAGCAGACGGGCCCTACAAGCTCTGCAGGAAACAGGGTCCCTCCAACCCAGGTTATTAGAATTCTGTAGAGTTTATTTCTGCTTGAACTCTGCTTACAGTGAAACTTTCCTGCACTGAGAGTTTTCTACCTGGCTTTTAGGTGCAAACTCAGCAGGGGTGTGTTAATTCCTAACATCAGCAACAACGGCACAGGCAAAAGGGATTTCTTGATGCTTTAGCTTGTATATTTTTATTTTAAAATTATAATGGGCTTTTCCAAAGCCATGGACAGAGACATCCAGAGGGAAAGGAGGGTTGGAATCAGAAGGCACATTTCTCAAGGACTTACTGCAGTAAGCAAAGCAGAGTGGAAAACGGTCCCCAGTCAACATAATAGAAAGCAAAGGCAATCTGAGATCGGTCCAGTTGCCCAGGCCTTTTAGGGTCATGGAAATAAAAAGCCAATCTAGGGAGGAGATAAAACTGCAGTGGGGGAGAATGGGGCAAAAAGTAAAGAAAAGGGATGCAGTTAGGTCAGGAACCAAAGGGGCCACTGTTGAGAGAGGCTACAAGTAAAGGGCAACAGAGGATTTTCCAGAGAGACAGCACTGTATCACTGAGTCAGGGAGGTGGCTAGGTGTGTTTTTCCCCTGAGAGTCAGGCTGTGAAAGCAAATCAGCTGGACTTCTCCTACCTTCATGCACACAATAAACTCTAGGCTTTGGAGCCAAACACCAGCAAGGAGGAGGGGGTGTTGCCCAGAAATGTCTGTCTTGGCTGAGGGAGCCAGCAATGGACTAAGGGGAAGGAGTAGGGCCAGTCACCCAAGAGGGCTTGGGTTTTCTATGCTAGATACTACAGGAGAGGGTAAGAGCACTGAGGAGGGGATAGATGCTTTGTTGTGGTATGGGGTGGCAGGGAAATGATGCCAAGAAGGCTGAAAGGTTTCAGATCATGAGAGGTAGATGCAGAAGGGACTCCTTCTCCTGTATGCCATTCTTTGCTTGGAATGCATCGGAAAAGATGTGGTCCTCTTAGCCTGGCAGCCATTCTCATCCTGAAGTGTGCACTAACCTGCCAATGTCATAGAACAGAGATGTGCCAGTGTGAACCTTCCTCTCCCTTACTAGGTTAACTGCAAAACAGCTATCGTCTTCTTCCAGTACTCAGTGCTGGCCAACTTCTACTGGCTCCTGGTGGAAGGGATGTACCTGCAAACCTTACTGCTGCTCACCTTCACCTCTGACAAGAGGTATTTCTGGTGGTACATCCTGATTGGCTGGGGTGAGCAAAGCGAATACTCGGGAAATGCAGTAACCTAACATACCAAGCCTGTCCCTGAGGGTTCTCAGTGTCCTACCAGAGCGACCTGTTAGTCAAATTTTACTCAAATGTTAACAACTAGAGGTCAAAGCTATTCCTCTCCACTGCCTTGCTGACCCAAATCTAACTCCAGCTTTAGACAGGTAAGTTGTAAGCCTATGCAAATAGGGAAATATTCGATTTGGATTCGGCCAATTTGGAGGACAGTGATTCAATTCGGTGATTTGAATCACTATCCCCATTTGATTCAACTGAATTGGAATCGGAAATTCGGCACTGATTCAGTGCTGATTTGGATCAGCCGGGGAGAGGCAGGTACAGCCAGGTGGCTGTAGGTTGTCCCACGGCTCCTCCGGCTGTGCCTGCCTCTGCCTGGGCAGGGAGAGCCACAGGAGAAGCCTCCATCCCTGCCCTGCCCTGTCCAACCCCAGCCTCCCGGCACTTAAAAAAAAAAAATTCATTCACTGGCTCTGGCAGGGGCTCTGGGGCCACATAGCAGAGCCCTCCATGCAGTCCCTGTTCCTTGATCACCCCCAATGGGTGCCCCACCAGCCCCAGCATCCCAGCAATTTAAAAAAAAAAAGAAAAAAGCCCCACACTCACTGGTTCTGGCAGCAGCGATTGGGGCCTCTGAGGGCTTGTGACAGAGTCCTCCTGTGCAGTGGGGGGCAGCGGGGATTGCCCACCCCCACTTGGCACCCATGCAGCAGCCGCCTCATGGCACAGGTGCAGCGCAGCTCGGCAGGGTACTGCATGCTGCCTGGGAGCTGGGGCTGCTGGGGCTGAGCAGTGCCAGGCTCCGGGTGACTGCGGGAGCTGCTCCAGCTCCCACGTGGTGCACGGCACCCTCCCAGGCTGCGCTGCACCCATGCCATGGGGCAGCTGCCAGGTGGTAGGTGGCAATCTCTGCTGCTCCCCACTGCCCTGTGCTGCACAGGGGGGTCTGTCATGAGCTCCCAGAGCCCCTGATCTCCACTGCCAGAGCCAGTGAGTGCAGGGCCTTTTTTTTTTTTTAAATTGCCGGGATGCTGGGAGTGGCAGGACATCCATCAGGGGTGGGGCTGGGCAGGAAGGAGGGGGGGTGATTGGAGAACAGGGGCTGCATGGGGGGGGG